TTATTTTAGGGCTTGTTTGGATAATGTGGTCCTTTTGGCTCTATATTAGTTGTATATTGTAATGTTTTGAATTTTGGTGCTTTGTTTATTCTAGGGCTTGTTGAATTGTTTATGGGGTGCTTTGTTTATTCTAGGATTTTTTATAGGCATGTTTTGTTATTATAGGGTTTGTTTGGATAATGTCGTCCTTTTGGGTCTTTGTTAGTTGTATATTGTATAATGTTTTGTATATTTTATGTGGTACCTTGTTTATTATATGGTTTTAACTAGGTTGTTTTTTGTGAATTTCATTTTTTTTTCAGAGTAATTTTCTATTTGATTGTGTCATGGTGGGGAGATGGCAAATAATTCTACTTTTGGGGGGAAAATATCATACATAGATGGTTGTGACAAAGACCTAATGTCACTGCCAATGGTTGATGATACGGTGGAAGCATTAGGATATAAAAAAATGTTTATAAGCTACTATTATGTGATTCCCAACATGGAGATTTTTAATGGTTTGAGGAAGATTGAGGGTGATGCTGATGTACAAACGATGTACATCTTTGTTCCTAATGTTCGAGTTATCTAAATGTACATTGAAGAATTGTCCCCAAAATAAAGCTATCACTCAAGAATAACAGTTTGTTCAGTCTATGAAGTGCATTGGTTTAAGTTCAGTGGTGATAGAGGAATTAAGTGATGAAGTGGATTTTGTTAGGGCAATGACTTTGAAACTAGGAGAAGGAAGAACTTGCTAGCAATTGAAGGACCAAATGAGGATGTCAGGAAGGAAGTGCTCCAAATGTTGAGATAGGAAGTGCTCCAAATGTGGAGGTAGAAAGTGTTGAAGAATGTGCTCAAGAAGTTGTAAACTTGCTGAAGATGATGGTTTGAATTCTTAACCAATGGAAACATGTGTGACTCAAGAAGATGTACATATTGATGAAAATGTTGAAAAATGCAATCAAGGTGTTGAGGATGATGATGAGGCATTCTTTGATGTGCCTATCAATTTTGAAGAAGACAATGAAGAAGCTTTTGAAGAAGATGTTGAAGAAGAGTTATTTAGTAAAGAATGAATATGGGACTAATGGAGATAATTCAAGGTTTGTCAAGTTTAATGGGCATGAGCAAGTAAATGAGGTGCAAGATGAGCAAAAAAATAGAAGGCAATATGAGAAAAGAAAAAGAAGGCAAACTAAAGAGAGCACCTCAAAAGAAGAAGATAAATGATGGGAAGATCAAATACAAAAAAAAAAAAGCAAAGGTAAAAAGAGGTTAAAGAAGCTGGATATGGGGAAGTGAATTTGATTCATGGCCCACATTATAATTCAGATAATCTAAAGAGTGTACACTCTGAGGATGAGGAAGGAGGCAAAAAAAAAAAAAAAAACAAAACACTACGTAGAGTTTAATGAAAAAACAAACATGAAGAATCCATAGCTTACACTAGGCCTTATTTTTAAGGATAGTGTGCAATTCAAGAGGGCAGTGATCATGTACTCTTTTGTTGAAATGATATGAGGATATTCATTTTTCTAGGAATGAGAGGTTGAAGATTATTGCGAAGTGTACAATAGATTGTCCTTGAATGTGTGCTGCTGGAAAAATATAAGGATGAAACAACATTTAAATCAAGACAATACTTGATCACCATAAATGTGGGAGGATTTGGTTAAATAAAACTTTGAGGTCTCCTTTACTCACAGATTTGTACTCTGATTAGATAAACCTTAATCGCATATGGCCTGTGGAATTCCTTTTTAGCCACTGTTGAATCAGAGTGGAATCATGGGTGTATAAGGATGAAGGCTTAGGAAGATTAAAATTTTAAATTAAATTTTGTAAACCATATGACATGATTGCTAATGATTGAATCATTACTTAAGTATTGATTAACGTACTTATTTCTTATTAGTGACTCATCATATAGTTTGCAAATTCGATTTAAAATTTTTGTATCATTACTCACATTTGATTTGATACATGCAATTAATGTGATTTGTTTAATAAAATATGGTTTTCGTGTAAAAGCCAACTGAGAAAGAGAAAGTGTTGGACCAGAATAATGTCCTGTTAACCAAAACTAATTAGCAACAATTCTACCAAGACTAGCAACTCTATTTAACTTGATTGGGATGATGACTAGACTAATGACTTAGACAATGCAACTTGGATACTTGATTGATTTTATTGAGGCTAACTAAACACTTCATTAGTGAAACCACTACATGATCAATATTTTCAGACACCCACAAACACACCTACCCATCTCCTCACTAGTTACCAGCAATGACAACACTACGTATCACAACACCATTCATCAACTCAACCACCAACTATCCGTCCCCCCTTGAAAACCAAGAATCTAACCCAAAAGCTTTGACGGCCTCCTTTACCACCCTTCTTGCTCTTTGAGGGCTTTTGTTTGCCATTGGTACTAGTTCTTCGGGTATCATTATGAGTAACAATGCCCACAAAAAGCTGGTTTAGGTTGTCGGTTTCTTGTTGGGTTTTATTTTCTATGGCTTGGTGTTTCTATCTGCAAGGTTGAAGTACCCCATCTACATATGGGATGACTTATCCCTCACCTGGGTCACCTTTTGGTTCGGTGTCCATCAGGACATTCACCTTATCAACTCCGTTTTGGCGGTTGTCCTATTTGCAAAATCGCTTTTCCACATAGATGTTTTTCAAGCATGACTGTTTTTGAAGAAAAATGTGTCTTTTTTGGATCCAACAAGAGGCTTTCTCAGATTCCTGGAGAAAGCCAATATGTGGCTTGCCCGATCCCTTGGTATGGATTATTATAATTATTTATGGGAAATTTTTAGTAAATTTCTTTTTATATTAATGGATTTTTTTATTTATTTAAGGTTTTGGGATTTTACTGAGGAAGTAAGGACTAGCTTTGGAAGCACTGTCAAGTTGAAGTTGGATGGGCAAAGGTTCCAAAGAAAATATGTTTGCTTAAGGGCATGCAATGAAGGCTTTAAGAATGGGTGTAGAGCTTTGATAGGTTTAGATGGGCGCTTGAAGGTTCTACATGGATGACAATTGCTATGTGTAGTTATGATCGATCCAAATGATGAAACATGGGTCATTGCTAGTGGTGGAGATGGAGAATAAGGCTTCTTGTTATGATATTTAGAGTCGTTGGCTTATGATGTTGGTATTATAAACCAACATGGGTGGACCATCATCAGTGACAAGCAAAAAAGCCTAATTTCAGCATTTCAAAAGGTTCTCCCCAATTGCCACCATAGATTATGTGAGACATTTATATACAAATTATAGGAATTTGTTCAAGGAAAAAACATTAAGGGATGCTCTATGGTCAGTTGTCAGAACAACAATGGTTCCACTAGGCAATGGAGGATGTGAAGAAGCTTGATGAAAATGCCAACAATTGGCTAGTGAAGAAGCTTGGAACTCCGTGGAGCAAGTCACATTTTGAAACTCATCCAAAGTGTGACATGCTGCTTAATAATCTTTGTGAATTCTTCTATGTAGTCATACTAGTGCCAAGGCAAAAGCCCATTGAGACAATGTTGCAAATGATTCACACTATGTTGATGAAGAGAATTCAAGAGAGGCGAGATATAATTGTTGAAGCAAGTAGGAGAAAGTTGGAGGAAGTCAAACTCTTAAGTGGCAAGAACATTACACAATGGTCAGGAGGGGCTAAATTCCAAGTGGATGTTGGATGGGGGGATCAATATAGAGCAACTCCTCGTAACCAAGTCAACCATATTGTAGGAAATATGGCTTAAAGGGAATTCCTTGCAACCATGCAATAGCTGCCATCAATTTCAAGAGGGAAAAACCTGAGGATTATGTGGATTCAAGGGTAAGGTATTTAGAGGTTTATTCCCATTTGATAATGTTGATGAATGGAATGTCTATGTGGGAGGAAACTAATAACCCACCACTATTGCCTTCATTATATACAAGGCAATCTAGAAAACCGAGGAAGAAGAGAAACAAAGAAGCTGCTAAATTGGACAAAGATAGTCAATAGACTCCTACAAACCCACCAACTCATCTTAAAGGTTCTCCTCAACCATTTAAGCTAGGAAGGAAAGGGTAAGATTGTTTGTAGTTCACTATATGCAAGAAAGAAGGTCATAATGCAAGGACCCATCATAGACATCTTCCTCCAATGGACAAATAGTTAAAATTTTGATCCTTTCTAAATCCTTTAATCTTTTAATCTTTTAATCCTTTATTGATTTTGTACTTTCTTCTAGGCATCCACATCTGCACAAGGAAGATGACAAGGATGTTGGATTTAGTTGGGTTTTTTGAATTGATTTGGGTGGTTGGAAATGTATTGATTTGCACTAATTGTATTTTGGGTTATGGATGGTAGATGGATTAGATGGATTATGTGGCGTTTTTGGGTTATCTTTGAACCAGGGCACTACGAATTTTTGGATCCCTAACAAGGCTTAATGCAGATTTGGGTGACTATAACCATTTTGGACTTTGCAAATGTTTTCAGTTGTTATTTTAGATGTGAAAATTGTGTTAAATTTTTGTGCTCATCATGTGTTTATGTGGAACTTTACAGGTTTGAGTTGTATTACCTTTCAATATTGAAGGTTTCAACTTTTTGCCTAGAATATGTAGGATTCACAAATGGAAAATGTCACAATTTTTTTTAAATTTTAAAATATTTTTATATGACATGGACTAATTTAGGCAGGAAAACTTTAAGATTCAAATTTTGAAACCTTTTAAACAAAATTTCAAATTTATATTTTATAATAATTTTAAAATGACATGGCCAAATTTTGGCAAGAAAGGTATGTGGCGGTACACCATGGAACTCCACGTATGACATTGCAATGTTTTAAGATAGGGTATGGCATTATAGTTCGACCAATAGTTGAGATACGTTTTTGTAATTTACCCAAGACAAAATTAATAACCTGTTAAAACTTTGCAAGTATTTGAATGAAGGGAGGGGAGACTGAATGATGTTCTGTTACAGTTAGCATGGAAAATTCATGTAAAGAATAAAAGAATGTAGTGCTCTATTATTTCTATGAAAAAAAAAATTCATTTTACAACTTTTGTAAGGTGTATAAACACACTTGATTAGCAACAATAACTACTAAAGTACTCCTACCTCACGACCTACAAAACAAAATTTCAAGCATCACGACGGTTAAGAAAACTTGAAAGAAAGCCGGCGCCCATGGATATCAGCAAACTTCACCAAGACATAAGCAAGCAGAGCAGGCATCCCGTATGTTAACTTTTTCAAGTCCACACACATTTGCACTTAACCAAACATCTGCTCAAGCAGCAGGTGCTTGTCCATCCAATCTGGTATTACGACCACGCCCACGGGCCCTTCCTCTACCTTGACCGCCCCTTACCAGACCTTCAAATCGCATCTTTATTAGATTACTTATCGAACTTAACAAACATTCCAACATTCCAATGATGTGAAGCACACAATACTTCTAAAATAATTGTTTGACAACGCAAAAGTTTTCACTAGGCCTGTTTGATAACCATTTGGTTTTTAGTTCAATTTTTTTTTCATTAGATATAGAGAGAAAGTAGATGGAAGAATAGATGACTAAGAATGCGGGGAGTATGGTAGGAGGAAGGGGGAAGAAATGCACATGAAGCGACATACAAAATAAAAATCGATTAATAAGAAATTGCTTTTCAGTTTTTTGTTTCATGTTTTGTACCATTCCATGTGCATTTCCCCATTTCCTTCCCACCACCTTCCTCTAGCCTAATTTATCCCCTACTTTCTTCCTCTTATTTCCTACTTATTTCTAACCAAAAAGCGAAAATTAAAAACTAAAATCTAAATGGTTGACTTATGCTATGGAGAAATCCTTTTCAAGGACTTGTTGCTCAGCACCAACCAAGTATAGTGCTCAATGCATAATGCCAAAACCATCAGTATTACCTTATAATAAAAGCACACTGGTCAAGGATATATTAGACCAAAAACATAAAAATTAAAACAAAATAAAAAAACTAAGAAATGAACTTAACAGATCGTACATAATGTCCTTACAACCAGGTTCAAAGAAAAATCTAGTTCTAAAACCCTATGAATCTTGTGCTGATAAACTACATTATTAGTGACATGTAGACAAACATAAAGCCGCTAACGTATATACGTTCAAAGAACTAGACAAACATAAAGCCGCTAACATATATACGTTCAAAGAACCAAGTGTAATTGGTGTATAATTAATGACTTTTTAGCCAAAATGGTCCCTGATATTGGCATAATCCTCACTTTTGTAGCTGAGATATGAAATCGATAGAAGTGGTATCTGAGTTTGTCTACCATCAATGATTTTGGTCCTTACATGAAAAATTTACAATAAATAAGGATAAAATGACAAAAATGCCATCAATTGTTTATTAAATAGAAGGTACTTTTGTCATTTTGGTCCTTATTTAACGGAATGACCAAAATGATTAATGGTGGACAAACCAGGAACTACTTTTATTGATATCAAATCTCAGGAAATAAAGTGAGGAGTTATGCAAATCTTAGGGACTATTTTGGCTAAAAACCCTTAAAGGAAATAAATTGAATATAATGGTATAGATAATAGAAAAACATACCACGGCCTTGGGCAGGTGCACCTTCAACATAATCATAGTATCCACCTAACTGACCATAACCTCGTCCACGACCCCTAAAAGAACCACCTCTTGCACGGCCTCTACCTCTGCCACCATAACCACGCCCACCATCCCAACTATCTCCATTATAATCCCCAAATCCATTGTAGTTTCCTGCAGACAAAGTAACACGAACCAGAGAAAAACCAGATAAGCAGTTTAAATCATGTGTAACGAAAATCTCAGTCAATTATCATGGGTACTGGTATAATGTGTTTGATATTTTTTGAAAAGAAAAATTTTAACTCCATTTCAAGAGCTTGTAATGACACCGTAACAAAATGCATACATAATTTTAGAGCAGAAAGCAATACCTCTACCCCTACCTCTTCCTCGGCCACCGCGACCCCTGGCTCGGAATCCAGGCGAACCGTCTGGTTTGCACGTAGTTAAATCAATATAAATTGACGTGGTTATAGTACAAAAGGTAACTTCATACACATGAACAAAGACATATCATATCACCTCCATCATCCTCAAAATTATTCAATTGTTTCACTTGGTCAATCGGAAGAGGGGATTGATATCTGTATCGATTCGAATAAAAGAAAATTAGGGTTTAGAGTTTTATATATATGCATTCAGAAAAATGAAAGACAAGGATATAATTCCCAACTATCAAACCACATACTTATATAATCACCGAGTTTTATCACACATTTGTGCACTTCTAGGCTCTAATGAGCATGATAATATAATGGGAAACTGGCTGTTTTAAAACAAATTCATACAGTCGGTGCTAAAATAAAAGGATAGAAGATCGTTGCTATTATAGAAAGTTTTTGGATATGAAATGACTGGATACCCCTCAACATATGACACTAACCTCCACAATCAACATCTTTCTCTCTCTCACTCAATCAATGAATGATGAAAATCAACACCAGCCCAATTGGTGTTTGTGTTGAAGTGTGATCTTGCCTTGGCCCAAGATGGATCCAGCCCATGGACAAAGAAAGATCCATACACATGCTAGAGAATTCTAGCAAAGTTCAAGTTGGTGGAAGAGTCTAGAAGAATGGTGAGGTTTCCACCAACATGCAAGATTAGTAGTTAGTAGAATTATCTAGATATCTCTAGCATGATGATTACATGCTTCTCCAAGTTTCCATCCATGCCTATAAAAGGAGAGGGCATCCACACCATTTGTATCAATCAAGCAACCAACAAGACAGTAGCCAAGTAGGCAACCAAGTGAGAGTGAGAAGC